AAATTTAATTGGGATTTAAATGTTGCATCTAACAATAAACTGACAGAAGTTACACAAATAAGTACTACATAGAATAGGGGTATCTATGTCTTAGTACGTTCAGGAAATCACCACTGAAGTCCAATTACATGCTACACTTTCAGTAGCTCTGCAAATAAGATTAAAATTCCAGATCTTAGAGAATAAAGTTGATTACTTTCTCATAATTATTTGCATTAGTGTCAATTTCTAAGTATCTCTGATCAAGTTGTTTCTCATAATTGGTGTATGCAAAGTATACAATGCCACTTACTCGGCAAGGTCATAGTTGTAACAGCCTTGTCATGACTGGTGAAAATTCTACCCAGTGAATACAATATTCCAATTATTGACATATTTTTTTTCCTCAATTTGCTTCAGAAGTTATTTATAAAATTAATATGATTGCCATTCTTTGAGTACTGTCAGTATTCTGCTGGAAAATACGTGTTCCCTCAATAAGTGAAAGAAATGCATCTCTGTGTTCAGATGTTTTTTTTTTTTTTCTGTATTTTATATACCTCTGATTTTATCTTTGAAGTTTGAGGAATGTTGTTCATTATATTTCAGGTGCTACTGTACATCAAAGTAGTTTCTATATGAACAAACTTTTAATTTGGCAGTGACTGACAGAGAACAGCAGATTGTCTGTAATTTTATTTTATTTTTTTAACAAAAGAGTTGTGAATAATTTAATCCACAAGATATCAAATTATCAGTTACAAAAGTATTAAAGTACTCTATACCTATCTTCTAGATTTTAGCACATGCGTAACTTATATTTTTAGCTAAGATTTTAGCATACACTATTAGGTCTTGAAAGCATGAATGAGAATTTCACGAGTACTCACCAGTGCTGTCCTTGTTTCTCCTTACAAATACTTTAAGGACTCCTGTACAGTGATTTATGACAGTAAAGAGAACATTTACATTTACTACTAAGGTATTTCTTTGGGCTAGGTACAGACATTAGAAAGCATACCAGAAACAACAACTTTCTCACTTCTTTGTTAGCCTACATGTGATTAAAGTAGAACTTCACAATTCCCTTTAAAAAATGGGAAAAGATGAATATCTTACAGATACCCAAGCTGAGCTCTCCATACTTGGCAACAGAGGTTATCAAGTTGCTCTTAGTGTTTGAGCTTCATAACTCAAAATAGAACAGCAGTATACAGATGCTGCAGGTTTGAGATCATGTGAACACTGTCATTCAGATAGAATGCTCCCTAACAGAATGCCAGCATAAATCTGTTGTTCATGCCTTTATGCCACAATCAAGGCTTCTGTGATCATAGGAAGAGCCTTCGAATACTCCTGATGTATTCATGTATTACACTCCTGACTCACAGAAACTCAGAAAATATGAGAGGTCACTTGATTCTTCACTTCGTTCTGAGGCAGGGTCAGTTATAGCTATTCTAGGGAGAACTGGCTGTAATAATTGGTTGTGACCTTGGTTACAGTTATCAGGAAATAGTGGAGCTCAAGATCCTTAGTACAGACCCTGCACTTCAGGCAGGCAGGCTTTGGCTTACTCAGGGAATTAGAAAGTGGGATCTTATAAGAGGCACCTCTGAAAGGTGAAGGAGCTTATGAAAGTAGGCAGGTCTTTAAGAACGACCTCTGCCAAATGCAAGAATGATCCATCATGATATTCAGGAGAGGCTGACCTGCTGGGAGACTGACTTAAATGCACAGGAAACCCATGATTGAGCTCCAGTGGAAACGACAGTACATACGAAAAAAAAAAAAGTTCTAAGGGTTGGGATTGCCATTCCCTCTCCTACTCTTAACTTTCAGGGTTCCTACTTCTTTTACTGTTGTTTATATGTTGTGTTTTCTACATCTTAAGTCATTTGTATTCTCATCTTTCTGTTTAGGCTTCTTTCTTGAAGGGCTGTACTCATATTAGACTGAGAAATGTTTTTGAGACCAGAAATACACTGATCTATGTTTCTCAGCTGTTCTGCTTTTAGACATTCATTGGATTAGGTCTAAACAACATGATGTTTATGGCTTTTTTTTTCATTCATATCAGCATGTGATCAATTCCAATTCCTTCTATTATTTATTTATTTATTTATTTAATTAGGAGAAGTGGTCTAAATAGTCACTTCTCATCTTGGGTTAGTGCAGCTGATGTTCCTTTTCATATATTATATTTTACACCTCTTCATTTTTTTTATTTTTTTTTTTCCCCCAGTTTACACAAATCTTCAGTTTGTAAAGATAATTTGGAATTCTATTGCATCCTTGCAGTCCTTCCCAATTTCATGCCATCCTCAGCTTTGGCAAATACACTCTTGTCTAAGTCAATAGTATTATTAATAAAAAGGCTGGACAAATCCCAAGCCACGTGAATTTCTGACAGGTCAGCCTCCTTTGTCTTTGGTTAACAAACTATGAAAAACTAGTTTCAGAATAAAGTTATTCAGCCAATTTTTGCACCTGCATTTTTGCTGTTTTACCTGTTTTACCAGTGTGCTTGTAAAGTATTTATGCTAATGTCAAGTGAGATGCTGTTAAAACTTTCATAAAATCAGGATGTAAGAAGGTTCATTTCCTGTCTTTTAAATGTAGAAGCTCCACTACCATGTTGCAGAAGGAAATTAAATTTCAAATTTGGTTTGACTTAGGTGTTTACAGATCTATACTCTTTTTTTTTTTTTTCTTTTTTTTTTTTTTTTTTTTTTGTGCTAATTTCTGAATGGTTACAAGTAGATGGAAAATTTATTGCAGAAATTTTGGAACTGAAGTTAGCTCTCTGGCCCATAATTTCTCTCTTTTTTTTTTTTTTTTTTTCTTTCTTTCTCCTTCTCTGTCTTTTTTAATACAGGTGCTTTGTTCACCCACTTTCCATCTTCTAGTCATCTCTAGTCCCCAGAGATGACTATAAACAACTGATAAATTGTTTTGGCCAATTCTTTCAGTATCCTAGAATAAAACTGAGCATATTCCAATAATCTGGAAACATGCTACTTTTCAGGCAGCCTCCCACATAGTTTACTTTTAAGGAAGTACACCATACTTCAAATTTCATTTCAGCTTACTTTTTACTGAAGCACAACATCCAAAAAAAGCTATAGCTTTTCATATTGTGAAAATCTGACACCTTCCTTATAGATCCAGTTTTACAGCTACATTTGTATGATCATTGAAATGACCCATAAGAATGAAGGCATAAAACAAACAATTCATTTAAGAACTTAGGAAAAAAATGAGATGAATAAGTTAGTATTGCAATTTATATGGGTGCAGGAGATTACTTAAAATAGTCAAATTTATACTCTATTTCCAGATTCTTATTGATTATTGTTTTAAATGGAATTATTACTACTTATAAGGTTTACCCGGCCATTAATGTGTACCTCGACATCTGTGGTGCAGTTTAATGGAAAGCATCGTTGATGCAACTGTTTCCTCAAGGTGTAAAATCTAGAGAAGGGAGAAAATGATTAGTCACAGTGACAGAGTGAACATTGGGGAATTACTTTTCTGTGCATATCATTAAAAGATCAATAAGATGAATATATAGAGGCCAATACTATTTACTGTAGAAGTAGAAGAGAAAAAAGAACAGCCATACTTTGCATGACTTAGATTTTGCTCTTTGATCTAGTCCTCTTCTGTGATGGAATTTTGAAGGGCTGTGATAAAGGTCACCTTTGCTGTTCGGTGTTTGTTCTCATCATAGTCCTAGTGCACATTTGTGCCTCATGCAGACTAAGAGTCAGATAGCTTAGTTTTAAAATGTAAAATTTACCTTCATAGATTGTATTCATAAAATTAATTTTCTGTGCACTCTATATCAACCTTCCTTCTACATCTAAAAATAAAACCGTGTTTGTTGTGCTTTACTTTGGTTGACTCTAATAATATATTTTTTTTCTGTTTGAGGTTGATGTATGCCTTAGTGTATAGATAAGTCAGGGAAAAAAAAAAAAAAAAAGGAAATAAAGACAGAAAATTGATGCCAAATCTACTAACTCTTCATCTTGCATTGCATGTGGGAGATTATGTTTCAGTGGTTCCTCTGTGAAGGACTACCACAGAATACAATATATCTATGGGTAGTGTTACACTTAATTAATACAGACATATTACAAAGATTTAATATATGTAATATGCTACATATATCCAGGTATTTCTGTTTTGACTAATGTTTCTGATGCACCCAGTTGGCCATATGCTTACGGAAAAACCTGACACCTGCATGCTTCAAGACAGACATGTTATCTTCAGCCATGCAAATCTGCATGCGTATTTGCATGTATTTTGACAATAGTTTTAGTAGAGCTTGATGGAACATTTGAACAGGATACCTTTAAGTCTACTAATAATAGTAACTAGTCCTGTAAACCAATTGTGCAATGCTTTAGGTTAATCTGGTAATAATAATAACCACAGATACTGTTTTTTTGAGGAAATGTCTTCATTTAACACCAGAATACAGACACTAGTATTGACACTGCAATAGGTAGTGAAACAGCATAGCATGTTAATATCAGAAAATAGCTAATGTGCATAAGACCGGGATATGGTAAAGAGAGTCAGCAGTTTGGTAAAGACAGTAATTTGTTTCTTAAATCCAATTTAAATGGTGAAGATTTTTTACTGAATAATAATAATAAAGTGTTTTCACAATATGTCTCTTTAAAACTTTTATAGGTTTTGTTAATGCTTTACAATATCTTTTATCTTTGTAGAAAAATAAGGTAGATATACCATTGTACAGAGTGCTGAGATCTATTGATATTCTCACTACATACACTGTGACTTCAAAGCCAAGTTTGTAACAGTACTACAGATGTTGCAGGAATAGGCCCAAGTTAATTGGCAAATGTTATTTTTCTATCTGATTTAGCAATTATATTTACATATATGTATTACATGTTGCATGAATTGCCTACATTGTAAATCCCATTATGCATCTCTCTTCAGAATGTTAACGTAATGTTTTCTGGTTTTCCCTCCTGCAGTCCATTGCAATATGTGAAGAAAGCTCTGTCCAGGCCCTTCTCCATCCCTACTGAGGAGATGAGCTACAAATGCATCATTTCTCATGTATCATTCTGCACTGCTGTGAGTACTGATATACACTGATAACTGCTGTTTGTCTGTCCAGCTCTAGGGTCTGGGGGAGAGGCAGATGAATGTTGTGTTATGGCACCTTCTATGTATAGTGCTAGTCTTTGGCCACCCACTTTCAGCACAGTCATATTCTGACCACCAAGATTTTATGTTCTTGCTCCTTTCTTATGGCTATAATGACTATAATTATTATCATTGTCTTAGAGAGTATGTAACAGGATTTTTTATTTTTTATTTTGTCAACGATCTCTTTTATTCCTTGGGTTGTGTTTGTTTTTCTTCTGATTTTCTTATATATTTCTTACTTGTTTGTTGAAGGATGCATAATGGGAACTAATATTTTGTTGATGAGGTCTTCAACTTCCAGAATGGGAAGCTATAGCTTCTTTTTGTTTTTATATTTATGACATATTTCCTGAAAAGTGACTAGAGAAGTTACAGTTTCTCATCCACATCCAGTTATGTCACTTTGTCTGGGCCACAATAACTGACTGTATGTGTGCATTAAGAATTGAGAGATTAAGTAAAAAAGGCTGGGAACAGGAAAAAGTGCTTATAGTTGATTACTGAAGCTCAGCTCCATATTAACTTCTTCAGCTATAGCAACTTATTGAGCATCTGTACTCTTATTTGCCATAGTTCTGGATGTAGAGAAGAGATTTAGACTCTTTTGGCAGGTACGAGCACTGACTGTGGTGGTAGGTTAATAGTACTGGAAATGACAGCTTCCAGCTCTGTGATGGATCATGCAGAATATTTGAAGTGTCTTGCAGACCATTGCCTGGCACAGGACGCTCTTCTGTAATAAAGAAACGGTGCCAACAAGGTTGTACTTAAATTCCTATTCCTCACAGACTCAGAGGTCTGAGTGAGTCTAGGCATCAGGAGGTGTATACAGTAGATTTGCATTTCACAACATTGAATACCCTCTTGAAAGAGATTTACAGGCATGGGGCAGTGAACACTTTTTTTGGTTGTTTTGCTTTTAAAAATGCTCAAATTACTTGTGGATCTGGGTCAGCAAAATAACGGCATTGTTGTACATATCTGAGAACTTTTACTGTCCAAACAAATTATACAGAAAAAAGTATCCACATCTTTAAGAAGTAAAATTCTCTTCATGCAGGCATGAAGTGATTAACAGATGTCAAGAGGGAATGCCTTACCTTTTGTTGACTATTTTGCAAACTTACAGAGCCAGGAGACATCCTTGAAATCACAAAAAAAAAAAAAAAAAAAAAAAAAAAGTTTTATAAAAGTGACAGAGACACAAACCCAAATTCTGAAACCTTCATAAATGAAATGTAAAACTTTAAAAGTCTGGATTTCTCTTCAGTCTCTAATGAGAGCTCATCTCATTAAAAATTAACACCTTTTTATGATACCTAATTTACTTATAAATCTTATTGCCACTCATTATCAACTTTCATGGACATCTCAATCAACCTTATGATTAAATCTATTTTATTCAGGCTATTCTTTTCCCACTGATTTTAATTCTACCTTAATGATTCTCTTTTTCTCTCTGAAAATTATTTCAATATATTTTAATATTTTCTCACTGTTCACTATTTTCATACCTTTAAACTTGAATTTTATTATTATTTTTTTTTTACAAGTGTGCTGTGTTTGTTTATAAGTGTATGAACTCCTAATTGTATAAACACATTAGCATCCAGGAATATTTTTTGTTAGAGGTTTCTTACTTCCCACAAGAGTTTAAATGCAAATAACAGATGCTGCATTTTACATTTCACTTTAATGTTTTTGCAAGCAAAGGCAACCTTAATTGTGACTGAGAAACCACTCAAGGTCAACCCTGCCATGTGACAAGGTATTAAATTCGATAATCCTGACCAGGTGAAATGACCACAGGCAAGCAATAAAGTCTATCTATTCCCTAGAGTTCTGGTATGCCAGAAAATTATTAGACATACATTCTAGGAAGGTTTCCTATAGAATCTGAAAATGAACACATTATTTTACCTGATTATCTACTGCTTGAAGGGATGATGTTACTCTCTGACACATTGTACACTAATAACTAAGAGTATATAAAAAATAAAAAGATAGATCTTTTTAATAAATGTTAAGTCATCTTGCAGATAGTATTCATCTTCATTCTCCACTGGTTCATGTGGTGTACTATGTCTCAGAACCTCCTATGATAAGTTGTTTCTTACCATGAGACAAATAAATGGACAGGGGCTTCCCTTTTGTCCTCTTTATAAATTACATTCTATTTTGTCAGGTTCTTAAAAGTGCAAATTAGTCTGTTTAAACTGAGTCAAGCACTGTTTCTTAAAACATTTCATAACAACAACATATTTCAAAAGATTATTATGATTCTTTCTCTTTGTTGCAGTGATATATAACAAAAACATTTCAGTGCATTTCTCTCAGCAAATGAGGGTTCATTGAGGAATGTATTGGCAGAAATATGGAGCAATACTTCTATTGGCAAGACAAAATCTCAGTATAAGAAAACAACTTGGTTGTTTCCAGTGATGTGTATTCTAAGAAAGTAATGATAATTGTTCCACTAAACCTCAAGAAAAATAAAGGAAAAATTAAGGAAACTGTATCAAAATGTGCTCTTCTTAATTTATTTCAACAAATGCATGCTTAATGATATTTTTGTCTTAATTTGTCATGTGTTAGTTTAGTGTTAGGAGCACTTTCAGTAAATACTTTTAAGAATAGGTAGGCATTTAACATATATATTTGTTTAAGTACTCTTCAGAATACTGGAATGTTGAAATGTAGCCAGCATCTTTTATCCAGTAATGGTTTGTTTTAGCATCTGGGTACTCCAAACTCCTGTCAGTCATGACAAATATTAGTTTCTTGTTTGTTTAATTTTGTGCTGTTTTGTCTGTACGGTAGAGAATTAGCTATAGAGAACTGTTTTAAGGGAATATTATGCAGTCCGTCATTCATTCACACTGCTCCCATGGCATAATATTGTTCCTTTATGCTCTGTTGTTGTTACTGTTCCAACATAGATGGCCTAATAATCAGATAATAGTCATAATACAAGCTTTCTTAAAAAGCTTTCAAACCTTGAAGTCCCCATTGTATGTTATTTGGAGAAATAGTTTTTAATATTTGCGTCTCAGCTTGCACGGGCAATATCATATTATCTGAAATTGTGTTCTCCTATGATGATTCCCTCAGGTAAGGACTCCACAGCTTCAAAATGTTTTTGTCCCATTTGGCACAGGTAGATTTTTCTGCTACTCAAACATGAAATAATGGAAAGTTTTGTTTGCTCTTGTCTCCAAAATTTTCCTCAGTTCTGTCTCTCTAGATCATGCTTCTGACTTCTTTTCAGACAGCAGGTGGCGGAGTCCTGAGCCTATGGATTCCCCTGATTAAATAAAAGAGAGATGACTAGATATATTTCCTACCTAAGTGACATGAAAGGATGTATTTCTATTACCATTTTTACTTGGAAGTGAAATAAAATTCAAATGCTTTGAATTTAACAAATATCCCTGCTTAAAATACTTACCATTTTCTGACCCATGGGTCATTGCTGTCTAGACTGCTTCAGGCACCATGCTCTCTGAAGGTATCCCTGGTGGCTGCTGACATTTAAACTGTAGACTTTTTTAAGAATTGCCTCTCATTTTTTTCTAATAAAGGAATTTTGTTATTTTTAGGGAGGAACTGAAATAGTTCTATTCCCTGATTTTAGGTAAATATTGTCTATTTAATCATTCCATTTCTCTTTAGCTGAGTCTTTCATTTAGAGGAAGTTAGAAAATTTCCAGTAGCTTTCTTGAGCATTATTTTTTTATCAATGTGAATAAAATAAAATACAGTAGAATGTCCACTTTTTTTTTTTTTTTTTCCTAGAAGGCTACTCTCTTCTGTAGCGTATTCTGAGAGTTATGCAAGAGAAAACCTGAACAGGACAATGCTAAAATACCGCACGTTTAGAAAGATTATGAAGTTATACCTGTGATAGCTTGTTGCAGTCAAATGCACTTGAATATTAGTGATCTCAGATTGAGAGCTCTGGTTGCCAACAAAACAAACTGTTAGGCCACTGTGTCAGGATGCATTGATTGATTGGATACAATGCCACCAGTCGGCACTTAAAAGCCACACATGCTCAGCAATAGCAAACTGAAGCCCTTAGAAATTGTTTCTAATTGCCTAACAAAGCAAGCATTGCAGTATTTTCAAATTATATTCTATTGAGACTGCACATTACAAAATATTTAAAATACTGTTCAAATATATAAGGTTTTTTAACCAAATTGAGGTGTCATAATTTAAGTATCTTATCCCGAGGCAATTATTTGATTCTTAATTTGATAGTGCCATACTGTCTATAAAGTATGTGTAACAGTTACATAAAAAATAATGAAAACTTAGTTGTATTCATAATCAAGTGGTGACATTGACATTAAATAAGTAAGTTCACCATGATGTTCTAATCATGTAATTGGCATTTATTTATAAACATAATTCTCGGAGATAGCTTGATTGCATTCATTATTACCAGTTGGAGCCTCCTTAATGTTTCTATCAGCCTGATTCAGAATGCTAAATCAGGGTACTAATGCTGGAATTTACTCCTAACTCAGGCTGCAGGTTAATGTTTTCGTCTTTTAAACATTTCTGAACTTAAGTTCTCTCTTGAATCTTGTTGTAAAAACCTTTTGCCTCATGAAGTAAATCTATGTGTCAGCAAAACTAGACAAGCTTATTCATTACAATTAAAATAAACTAATCTGAAGCTAGTTTATTTAAAGTTTGTTTGTTTTCAAGTCATCTCAGGTTGGTTTGAGTATGAATTTCTTTACTGCCCTGCATACTCATCTGGAGACAGCACCTACCTCTTGAGGTATTCTTGAGGTATACTTCAGGTATTGGCCCTTAAAAAAAAAAAATAAATAATTAAAATTAGTTATTAAGTAACAGAAAATCAACAGTACATGCCTTCTGGTGGTCATATAAAGGACAGTGAAAATAAACTC